ATGCTTTTTATTCCACTTTTTTTTTTGTATTTTTACTCGTACCCCAGATCGTGGGCGTTTGTTGGCCGCTTCCATTCATAAAGAGCAGTTCGTGTGGCCATTAAATAACAATCAGATACGATACGATGATCCCAACTTAATGCCAAACAAACGCCGACGTGTAAACTTTTTGGTATTCATATTTTAGCATAATTCAATATATTAAGCACAAATTTAAAGGCCCACGCAGCGCTGGATAACACAAAAAAGTAGCTCTAATTAAAAAGCGATACGCCTTTTTCGAAAGTCACCGGACACAAATATATATTTATTTGACAGACGCCCGTTGAAAATTTTCAAGCCGCATAAATCAACTAAAAAAAAAGAGTTTACACAACAAAAAATATTGGAAGTATACCAGGCAGCCTTCGCTGCAATTCGTGGTTGAAAAGCAGCTTAAGTCGAAAGATCGAAAGGCCTTAGGAAAACATTTGCCAAAATCCGTTCAAGTGACAAGTGGCCAAGTTGTTGTTATAACTGCTTCGATATCGACCGAAAGATATGTCCATTGTGGTTGTCAGCTATCAAGCGGCTTTTGTTTGGATTTTTATATTTTATTTTTTTTTTGGGAGCACAACATTCTCACGGTGGATAGAAACGGCAAGGAGATGACAAGTCACAACCGGAGAAACCAATTGAGTGCCAAGGGCTTTTGTCATCAAACCAACGATCCATCCATTGATATAGCAATCGATATTGGTTCGGTAGTCCCTCCGATGATCGCTCAATTTGCGCAATGACGTGAAAGATTGTTGGCTTTTTTTTTTGTCGAGGGGTAATCGATCTTCTAGGCGTGTCCATCCGCTTTTTTTCGGGTCCAAAGATGATACAGTTCTTAACTTCTGGCTACCGGTTGCAGTCTCATCGCGTTTCTTCTTTGAACACCTTGCCCCAGCAGATATGTATATACATATACTGATATCCCTTTTGGAATGGGTAGGATTATAAACTTTATTGCATACTCTTCATGTGTCTTTTATAGTTCTGTCTTGGCCTTTTGTTTTTCCCACTTTTATACGACTGCCAGTCGGGGTTATTTACGACATTTCGAGCCAAAAGTTGCAAGGTGCAAGTTTTAAATTGTGGAATTTTTATGAGGGCCTCGGTTGGCACTCATAGGCATAGGAAGGGAGTGCTTATATAACACTGAGTATTCATAGCAAATAATAACAATAAAAGGCACTGAACTAGCCTCGGTCCCACAGATAGCCGGGGAGATTTTTTATCGCCCATTGCGACCCGCAGAGATCCGGCGAATTCATCATCTTCTATCAGTTCTGAAAATCTTTGCCAGTTTAGATTGGCCAGATGGGGGTTTTTGACTCGGGTCTTATATCTAGTTTAGCGGATAGAAGTTAATGATGCTTATAAGGTTTATATGAGGATTCTTAAAGGCATTTTTGTTTTAGCCAATGTTTATGAAATCTTATTTTTCATTATATAATATATCTCCAATAATATAATATATAAACATATATAATCTAATAAATCTCTTCTTTTCCCACGTTTCTTTTTTAAATTTCGCTAATTTAGTGGTACTTTAAATGATTTTATTAAACTCATTCTACACCATAACCTATCTGATAAATGTATCTCCCCATCGTTTTTATGTTTTCACCATATTTGGCCTACTAAAGGCATTTTCCGCACTTTATTCTGTCACCCAGTCGGCAAAGTTTCCACGAATTCTAAGCCCACAAGGAACCCATTTTAAATTCATGGGCAGATTTATGCATCTCGCATTGAAACGCACACACAACCGCAAAAGGCTCACGACACTCACGAGTAAATTACAGTCAAATGACATGCTCGCCAAAAATGCCACTTCAAATGTGTCCTTCTGCCCGATTCCCTGTCCCCTGTCCCCTCCCCTCGTGTCCTCCCCTTAGAGCGGTCCTTCTGACAACTGACATATTTTCAAAAGTGGGCATAGACATGACAACAACAACAATTGCATGTGTATAACCAACAAGCTGCAGGGAATTGGAAGTGCGATTTCGGGACCGAAACACTGCGACACTAAATATTTTGAATAGTTTTTGATATTTTGGAAGTATTTCAAAAACCAGCAGGAAACTTTAAATATTCCCAAAGTACCTAATACCTATTCAAAAGTGATACAAATATTTAAAAATCCTTAAAATGTATAAAATAAAATTGTGTAATTTTAACTGTGGGACTTCATTAGGTTTAAAATCATTATAATCAATGCCACTATAACTTTAAGAAGGTCTAATAATTTGCAAGTTTGAGTCAAATTTTTTTATGCTCTTACAAAAGATTTAGTAGTATTATTAGAAATCGCTTCAATATTTTTACAGTTCCCTGCAAGCATTGTTTTTTCAATTTTCTAATATAATATCTCTTCAAAAATATTCTACCTAAATTTAAAAAATACTTCCAATACATATAAATGAAATCTTAAATCAATCCTTCAAATATATTTTTCCCAGTGCATTGAAGTCACTGTCTCAGCCTCCGTTTTTGTGTGTTAAAACGGGCGTTGGGAAAACAAATTGCTGAAAACACCCCTCGTACCGGCACCCCCCTTCCGCTGCCTCTGTCCAACCCCCTCCCCCTTTCCCCGCAATATTCGGCCTTGTTGTTGGTTGTGTTTTTCGGGCGCGCAATGTGAAAAGTTAAACGAAAGTGACAGGCGTCGCAAAAGGGGAGGGATGTGGGTTTGGGATTGGTACTGGGAATATGGTAGTTATGGTAGATATGGCAGAGCGCAGGCTCGTCCAGGGAAAATCGGGTGGTTGAGGGGTATTTGCGGGTATGGTATAGTAAGGTACGGAACGGTGTGGTATGGCATGGTATCTATGGGTCGGGGGGCTTGACTGCCGACTGCCGACTACCGACTACCGCTATTAAACGTGTCACATACACGGCGGAGTTGAAAAGTTAAATGGCAGCGGCTGCGCGTTCAGACGGCCATGTTAGGATGTAGTTATTTTATGTCCACGGAACACGCACAGATACAAACTCACATGTTGCTCATTTTGATGGTGGCCATATTGCATATTTCAGCTTCAACCTCAACCCGAACTCAACCCCCCGAACAAAGATATTAGATACATTTGTATCTGATAGTTTGCGGCCTGTCATAAATTATTCTCATAGATATCTATTACCCACGGGCTGCTTTTGCCTTTTGCCTTTGCCTATTTTATTTTTTCCTCTGCTCTACGGTATTGTCTTATTAATTGCCTTAGTCGCAAATGGCGGGCCCTTTGATCGGTTTTAAGTCACGGCCAAAACGGTTATATCTCGTATTTATTTGTATTTATTTTCCGGCGGCAACAGAAGAAACAAATTCGTCAGCTAAGTTAACAACAAGTTGCCATAAGTTAAACGACAATTATTTGTACCTACAATTGTTTTGTCAACGGCAGTTATCTACAAAAAAAAATTGACGTATTTTCCCTGCCATTTTTGATTAATGGAAAAACTTCGCTTCGCATTTCTTTGCCTGTTTTTATTAATGAATGAAAAGTACATAAGCGAAAGGCTGGTCATTAATTAAATGTTTCAAGTACCGCATTCAATTCTTTTTATGTGCATATTTCAGCCCGAAATTGCACATCATAATCAACAACAACCAGATCGAGCAATTGAAGTGTTTTTCAATCAAGAGGAGGATAATGAGAAGCCATTAACATGAAATGTTCTGGGATGTGGGATAAATAAATTACTGGAATTTAAAATATTTGAAATGAAATGAGTATTACTTTAAAAGGCTGTTAACATCTTAAGGTATACAAATTTATTTGCGGCAAAAGTGTTTACGAAAATAACATTTTAAAGACTTGAATGACAACCAGATTTATATCCATGCTTAATCTTATCTTCAGTTGATTAATTAATATTTTGGCAAGGCATATCCAGTTACATTAATTCATTAAGGTGTTAAAAACACTTTGTTGCCTTACAGAAATAATTTTCAAATATTTTTTGAGATGCGTCAATTTATGGGCCATTTTTCTTTTAGCTCAAAATAATTTATTATATCATTTTGTACAACTTCTTTATTATTTTTGCACCTCCAGCCTTTCCAGTGACATTAATTTAGTCAAAACAAAATAAAGGTTTCATATTTAATTTTAAATTATTACAAGCAGCCTGTCGAAATTCCCAATTTAATTATACAGATTTTATGAAATACTAATCTAATTGAAATGGAAACTTTTAATGAAATGCAATGCGATGCAGATATTGCAGCTGTTAAGATATTTGTTAAAAGCAACACTTGGCGCCCAGCATTAAAAAATCAATTAAGAAAGCCAAAATCTAAATAATACTTTGCGGATTATTTTTCGTTTCGGTGTCTTTTTGTACTTTATGAAACGCAATAAAATTTGTTTGAAACACTCATTTAAAACGGCGTAACATGCAGGCGAGACATTGAATATTCATAAGATTGATCTTCGGATGGGCCGATAAATTTCACATTTCGGGGACTTCGGAGTGAAGCAGTTGCCGTCGCAGCAGCGATATCAATGATATTCGAATCGCCAACAACAATTAGCATAACATTTTTAAATTTATGGTTCAATTTTCAAAAAGAGCGAATCGGAGAAAAAAAATCGATTCGAAAACACAAAACAAAGCCCCGGCGAATGAAACTCGTCTTTTGTGTGGCTATTGAAATTTGTTTAGTATACATAAGTTAAATGCTGCAGCTAAGAAATAAAACAGAAGCCGCCGGGACATTTGCCAGATTTATTGAACGATTTCATTTGAAGGCACAACAAAAGAAGAAACAAATCCGACGGGCGCTACGATTTCAGATCAGATCGCTTTCGTATAGATATATAGAGAGAGGAAACCGATCCGGTTCTCAGGTGTGTGATAAAAAAAAAAGAGTCACCAGAATTTGCATAGAAAACTTGTATTTACAAAAAAAAATAAAAATAATCGGGTCCACAATTTTCACCATGTATTTCTTTTTCGTTTTTAAGACTGAGCTGCGTTCCTGCGCAGCGTGTGGGGAACCAATCTCGGATCGGTTCTTCCTGGAGGTCGGCGGCTGCTCCTGGCACGCCCACTGCCTCCGCTGCTGCATGTGCATGTGCCCCCTGGACCGCCAGCAGTCCTGCTTCATCCGCGAGCGGCAGGTCTACTGCAAAGCCGACTACAGCAAGTGAGTATTGAAAAGAAAACTATAGAAAAATATTTAAAATACTGGAAAACAATCATTAGATAGGAAGCTGATAGCTTCCATAGTCAGTTGATAATGGTCAATCCAAAAAATAATCGGAAATCATGGATTAGAACTCTTTCCCAAATAAATTTTAGCCTCCCTTGGTTATTCGAAATTCATATATCACCACAGATACTCACTTGGATTATGCTCAAGTCAGCTGAGTGGCCCTATAAAGATCTATCAATATTCAAGTCTTGTAGCAGGATTATAAATCTATAAAATATTAAAACTATACAAAATTACATCAAAAGTTAGGCTTGGTTCACATTATTTAGTTGCTTATTTACTTAAAATTATTTATACATTCCAAGGAATGAAAAAGGAAAATATCTTAAATAATATAAAAAGGGAAATGATTTTAATTCTTTAATATTTATTAATTGTCCCACTGTGAATAAACCCAAAAACGATCTGTTTATGTTCAAAAAAACTGCCCCATTGAACTTTCGAAAATTCCAATTGATTTTCCAAACTCAATTGTGTATGTGCACAAGTGTTTTCCGAATAGTTTCCCACACATCTTCTGTCCCCCTGGTTAATTGTAATTGTAACAATTCGACAGCGTTTGCGACTTAATCCATAAAGTCAACAGCAACAGCGACAAAGATGCGGCCAAAACGTAACGAAATGAAAACTTTACGGGGAGAATGCAAGTTGCAAGCTAAAAAGTATCTGGCAGATACAAAAAGCCAGGGGGGAAAACGTAGGAAAACGGTGTCGACGTCGAACGAAATGAAAATAAACAAACAGACGCGCCGTGAGATGCTGTAAAAATATTTATTTTTCAAGTTAAGAATTTTAAGTGTGCATTGCCCGATGGAGACATCAGCCAGCATTCAGCATCCAGCATCCCATCGCATCGCATCGCATCGCATCTGAACCCATACCCATACCCATACCCATCCCAAGAAAACCCATCCACATCCGAGTCATGCTCTGGCCATACATTGTTGTGGCTGTTGTAAAAATAAGCTTAAAAGCTAACAATAAGCCACCGAAAGTTGCCGACTCATTTGGAAAAACGTTTGGCCGGGCAAGCACTTCCGCTTGGAAAGCGTCCCAGCATACAGGAAAATACTTAACCATATCGGATTGATAAAGATGCCGGGGCATACCATTTTGGTTTTCCCTATTATCATAATAATCACACACAATCTGAGTTGTATACCTATTTTATTTTAATTTCTTTTTGTTCTTACGCTTTTACTTTAATCTGATTAGTGACTAATCATAATCTGATTAAATCTAGTGTTCTTATATACCTGTTTGTCCTAAAAATTACAGTACTGAAATGTAATATTATTTAATTATTATTTATTTTCAAGTAAAAATTTCGAATCCAAAAATTATATTTAAACTATTTACTTTATTTTAAAATGTCGACCACTTCTGCAAGACAAACTATTTAAATTAAATATTTTACAAGACCATCCATAAGTTTATACATAAATAAACTTAGTATTTAGACAGAAAAACTTCGGAACCACGCAGTGTTGCTTCTTAAACCCTTATAAGTAATCAGTAAATATTAATTTTTACCCATTTAATACATTTTAATAACCCAACTGATTGCGATTTCCTCTCGTTTAATTGCAGAAACTTCGGCGCCAAGTGCTCGAAGTGCTGTCGCGGCATCTCCGCCTCGGATTGGGTGCGTCGGGCGAGGGAGCTGGTCTTCCACCTGGCCTGCTTCGCCTGCGATCAGTGTGGACGCCAGTTGTCCACCGGCGAGCAGTTCGCCCTCATGGAGGACCGGGTGCTCTGCAAGGCTCATTATCTGGAGACGGTCGAGGGTGGCACCACATCGAGCGACGGTTAGTATTTGCAAAGATTTTGCATTCGACAGAGAAAAACAAAACTGGGGGCATAAAAACAAGCTGAAAACATGCTGCACGCTTCGGTGGCAGAACGGTTGCCAATTCGGGACGCTTCACTGTGAACGGTACAGTGAAGCTGCGGCCAAGTTAAGCGCCAGCCAGTCGCCACTGACGAAATCGTGTCACACTCGTAAAAAACAACTCTCCAGTTTCTTTTTTTTTTTGAGGCGACGTGATCGGCTTGTGAATGTCGTAGCCAAAACCCCCATCCTAAAAAACCCCATCTCCTCCCGGGAGGAGACCACCGTGTCCGGTCACAGTGGCCACATAAAGCATGGCAGCACAGCAGCTCTATAAACCATAAACACTTTTTGACGTTTTCAATTTGGCCGACTGTCAAAATGCTTTTAGACCAGGCCCAGAGTTGGGGCAGAGAGACCTTTAAGGCTTACACACACTTGGGACTATTCGAAATGCCCTTTTCAAGTTGTAAAGATTCTTAAAACAAATATATTTTGGTTTTATATAAACTAAAATATATTTCCCTAGATAGCCTAGATTTTGGAGTTCAGTTAAAGTCATGAAACTTTCTACTACTTCAAAATCAATATTGATAATATTTTAGTCTTGCATCCTTATTCAAAAAATATTTTAAATAGGACTATATGACTTGGTTCAAATAAATCAACTAAAACGATAATTTAGTTTGTACGAGGATGATAAAAATTAACTTGTGACTCATTTTCAAAATATATATTGTATTTAAAAAATGTATACTTATTACAATTTTTAATATTATAAACATATTTAAAAAGTTCAGTTCAGTTTTAAAATTTCATATAATGTTTTAGGATACCCTATTTTTTTGCTTCGCAGCTACGTTAAGGACTTTAAGTGCAGTGGCTGCCCTACGATTTATATTTATTTTCCGATTAAGTTTCTGACCACACTCCTTTTCCTTTCCCACAATTCCAGAGGGCTGTGATGGCGATGGTTATCACAAGAGCAAGACGAAACGGGTGCGCACCACCTTCACCGAGGAGCAGTTGCAAGTGCTGCAGGCCAACTTCCAGATTGACAGTAATCCGGATGGCCAGGATCTGGAGCGGATCGCCTCGGTGACCGGTCTCAGCAAGCGTGTGACGCAAGTGTGGTTCCAGAATTCGCGGGCGCGTCAGAAAAAACACATACATGCTGGTAAGAATAAAAGTAAGTAGTGGATTAGTGCCGCATGCCACCTCCTCCTCCTTCTCCTCATCGCCTAGAAAATCCTCCAAAGTAGAACTCGACCATCCAGTACACTTACTTTTCGCATCCCCCCCCAACGAAATCCTTACAAGCTGCTAACACAGTACTTAAAATTTCTTCTGTTTTTTTCTACTTTCAACAAACGATTTTTGATTGCAGTACGCGAACCGGAAGGAAGCTCATTTGCGCGTCATATTAACCTGCAGTTAACGTATTCATTTCAGAATAACGCTCAAAATCCAATGCATATGAACGGCTCTAAAGCGGGTCTATACCCGACTCATGGTAAGAAAGTATTTCATTTTTGGGGATAAGAAAATAGCGGGAGACATTAGAAAAATTTACATTATAGATTCGAGGTTAGGGCTTGAAGAGAAAAAACTGTATGATTCATTCAAAAAATTCTAAGTTTAAAGCTATATGAAAGTTGTCTAAATTAAAGTTTGAATTTTATAATAATTTTAAAAGCACTTCGAATGTTTTTACTATTTTAAAGGAAACAAGAGTTAAATTTGGGCTCTGAAAAATATAGTAATACCTATAGGATTTGTAGAAATACGGGTCAAGGTGGTACGTTTAGAACAATACCTGTTTTATTATATGGAGTCTAAAAAACGTTTATAATGAATGAATATAATATAGTTAAATGGATAATGGATAACTTACTTATTATACCTATACCTACCTTCTCTTTTTCCAGAATCCTCCATGGATGAATTGTCGCAGGACTCTAGTGTGCATTGTATGCCCAGCGAGGTGTGACTGGAGCAATCCTCGCCAGCTCGCGCCCACCGCTAGCTGGCTGGGTACCCACAAAACGTCCTTTCCTAGTCAAAATTTAATGCAAAATGCGTCCACGAAGCAGAAAATCACAAAAGCAGCCTCTCAAGAGGAAAATCGATGAAAAGAAAACCCCCATCATACAAGGCAGTCCCAGTTTTTAGGCTTTGAGCAACCCAAGCGAACCAACCATCGCCATCATCACAGTGAAATCTCATCAAAAAAGACACAGCAAACAAACAAACAAACAGACATTCCTGCATTGTAGTCTAAGAAACTGCGGTTTAGTTAATTTAATTTAAATGAAATTTAAATTTAATTTAGTTTAATGTTCAGTAATCGATAAGTGTTTCCCCATCATTCAACTCGAAGATTGATAACTGCTTGCCAAGGCTCCTGTAATATATTTATGCGTATGCCTAACCAATCATTGTCGTATACCTACCATGAGAAACGTTGTTATTGTTTATTTTCTTGTTTTCTAAATGTATAAAAAATCGATATAAATATAAATATATTTAGATCTATAGACCGTATCCTAAACATAGCTGGCCAGGCAATTTGTATATAGTAATGATAGCCGAAATTGATAAGCAACGCAGAAAACAGTAAATGAGAAGAAACTACACAGCTAAAAACTAACATTTAGTTAACAAAAATTATAAAAATACAATTAAAGATGAACCGAAATCAATTAAAAGAAAGAAAAACAAATTAAAGAGAAAAAACTTTTTCAAAAACAAATATGAATGGTGTTGTTGATTAACTTGGATTGGAAGTACTTTTTGGGTTATAAAGATATAAGTAAAGTAAAATGATAAACTTTTAAGTAATATATTTGGCTTACTTGCTGAGGACTATTTTTATTGAATAATCCCTCTGTTTTCTTTGGATTCCAAATAATTACAAAATCTGAACAATTCATAGGGTAATTTAGATGGGAGCCTTTCGAAATCTCCTGCTAATATCTCACTTTCTATCGATTGAAACGTTTGCTAATGCCAAACGATCTCTTTGGGCAACACTCGAAATCGATTTCCGGTGCAACTCGATCATCAACCTGTGCCCAACCAGCGATCATTTAAAGCATCTGCCGCAGACAGTGTGACGACGACTTTCCAGCGCGATCGTCATCATCGAGATCCCCGGTCATATCCACATGGTTTATGGCCACTCCAGCTGCCAGTCATGTGGCTGGATTCTAGTGTTGCACTTCAGGTTCCGAGCTAAGTGCATCGAAAGAGAACCGAAGGCATTAATTGAATTATAAGCCTAGATTATGCAGAGGTTTCCTGCCTGCCAGCTGTTCGGATAAAGCAATTTGTGTGGAAGATCATCGCGATGATCATGCTTATTGGGGATCGAGAGTGGTTAAAGGTATGGGTAGAGGGATTCGGGACTTGGGATTTGGGATTGGGAATGGGCATGACTGGGCAGACTCTGGGTACTGCACTTGTTTGTAATTCCTGTTGTTGGTTTATAATTGTGCGATCGCATTGCAGACGAAAAGGGCTTTCCATAGCACGTTACAAAAATATCAACAAATCGTCATCATTAATAATGATCACTCCGGGCTATGGTTGCCACTACACTTAGAAAAATCATATAACTGTGGAGAATAACCATTATTATCATGTTGATTGGATAACTTATTTAATCCTTATATATTTTTGACAAGGTAGGACTTCGATTGCAACAGAATTTTACAATTTAGGCATGGAGCCAGAACATTTATTAAAAATTATCCTTTTAAAATGTGATTATGATATCTAGTTGAGCTTTCTAAAAAACTTTTAATCTTAAAACTAGAAATTCTTTTTTCTCTAGTTCCTATAAATTTTTTTGAGTGCATATATTTTGTGTTTCTTATAGTGTTTGTATGTGTTTATTTTTCGGGCTGCCCGGTTCATTTGTCAAATTTCACCGCGCCCCCAAGAGATCCCCGGGAGATATATCTCGAGATCTGTTGGTCGGATCGGATCTCGTGTTGTTGCCGTTGTTATTTGAGCAAACATTCAACACTTGAGCCGAGAGATTTTCGTGGCCAGGTCCAACAACTCAATTCCCAGAGGCCCCTGCCTCCTATTCCCCCTCCACCTCCTCCTCTGCGGCAATGAAATTATGAATGATGTGATACTTCTGCCATTGAGATGTTTTCACAGTCGCGGGGCCCATGACATGCCCCGGCCATATCTTATTTGCTATATCTACATCGCCTGCGAGATTGGAAACTGGCAACTCGAGTTGTTGGTTGCTGGTGGCTGGTTTCTGGTTGCCAGTAAAAAATATCCCCCAACCCCAAGCCCAGGTTCCCCAAGCCAAAGTTGCTGCCGTGTTTGTGTTATTTCTGCTGGAAATGAGCGATCGCGTGCAATAATTTGTAGACGACTTTGCCGGCGAGGAGAGTTTCAGGCATTCAGACATTGAGGTCCACAATCCAGAATCGAGTATCCACCATCCAGAATCCCCCGTATTCAGAATTGTTCCTGTTGCTGCACATGCTGCACATCATTTTTCAAAATCATTCAAACACTTGTTAAATATTTTCTTAACCGATTGATGATGATTGTGACTCGCCGAGGTAGAATCATCATCCTGCTACAAAATTATTTGTGTTTATCAATAGACTTGCGCTGAAAAAAGGTCCGAACTGTCGGAACTTCGATCTCTGTTTTGGTGTCAAAGCAGAGAAAAAAAGTTCCAGTATATATTTATATTACAAATTTAAAAGGTTATGATTTAAAAGCTCTAGTTGTATTAATATTTAAATAATGAAAGGATTTAAAATGATTGAAGAACTGCCTTTAGTGGTTTGATTTTTCCTAGTACATTTTTTTTATAAGCTTTATGTTTGGTATACAAAATTCTTATTTCTATGGTTAGCCATTATATATTTTTGTACAGATTTGTTTTCCGTGTAACCGTCAAAGGCATTGACTTATTACGATTTTGTTGGCCTTTTCACATCCACGCTGGCTCGCTGAAATTAATTGATATCTGTGGTATGCGCTTTGTTGGACTTTGATGAGAGGCGGCCCTCAGTCTTCGGAGCTCCGTTTCCAGTCTTCAGTCTTCAGTCTTGAGTCTGCAGTCTCCAGTCCAGTCTTCTGGGCACTGGCCACTTTGGGGCACTGATGATCGATTACAGAACGTGCCGGAGTCGTGTCGAGTGGCCATTGAAAACGGGGTCAAGAGTGGGGATGCCATTCGGTGATTGGGTATGCAAATTTCCAGCAGATGCAATAAGCATTGTAATTCCTGGCCATTGGCCCATCATCACATCTCAACTCCTCCATCTGCATGTGCATCTGCAGCTTCATCACCTCATCGCCGGATCATCCATCCATCCATCCGTCGAGGAGGTCCCCACAAAGTCCGACAAAGGGAGCCCGCTCCTTTCAACACTTTTGAACAGTTTCGACACCAAAGCGGAGACCAACCTCATCGAATCCGAGTTCGAATCCAACTCCATGTGCGTGTGACTCACGCCGCTTGGCATTTTAATTGATTTTGGGGGGCGCAAAAATCTTGTGCCAAAATCCTCACCGTCACCACACGACCCGCTGGCACACGTTCTACGGAATCGCCGAGGAAGAGGCGTCTGGTTGCCGAATCCCAAGGGATAAGCCCCACTTATAAGCAAAAATGCAGGGAATTTGAATCGGTGTGAGTAAAGAAAGCAGTTTTAAAAGCAGAAAAGGGATTTTATTATTATAGAAATGACAATATTATTGATGGTCGATTTATTGTTTTTATCCATATAAACTTTATAAAAATAAAAAAAAGACTAGAACTGATAAGTTGATAAAAGAATGTTTCTATATTAGGTTTTTCGATTTTATTAACTATTGATTCAGATAAAATATATATTTTCCTTGTGTTTTAAGATCAACACTAAGCTTGTCACTTATTAGTAATGTTTGTTTTAACAAATATTATGACCCCCTTTAATGATTTCTAAAAATCATATTTCAGAAAATGTATACATTTATTATAATTATGTTTTTATCTTGTAATTTAAAGTACTTCCTAAAACATTTTAAATATGAAATCTATTTTAAAATCTATATCTTGTAAACTTCTTTATCCAAGTTTAACCCCCTTTACCAAGCCTCTGCTTTTTGAGTCAGGCACGTACGAAAAACGCTGCTCGCCTAGGAGCTGGAATGGGACATTCATCATGCTGCGTTGCCAACTCCCCGACTCTTTGAATCCGAATCCGAATCTGACTGCCTGCGTAGGCGTTACTGGTGGTCAACATCTCCTCCTCCTCGTGTTGCCTCCCTCCGCAGTGTTTACCTTCATTGGGCGTTGGAGCACGTAAAAATGTAACACCAACTGGATGGATGAGTCGAGGAGGAGCGGCCAGGAGGAATGGGACATCGACAACTTACGCACATCTGAGCTGGCTCTTTGGTTAATTACTAGCCAAGGATAAGGAGGATTATGTAAAGTAACTATATCTTACAAAACGTAGTTTATAAAGAACAGGAGAAAACATTTTTATGAATTTTAATTGCCACGGAAATTTCTAAAGATGCTAAAACCCAATGAGTTTCTATCGATATCATCACCTTAGTCTGTGAATCCAAGTTTTCTGTTTTTTAAAGCCAAACCAAACAAAAAGCAACATCATTAAAACACTTAAAATGATTTTTGTAGAACTGAATCTAATCATTTTATTGAAAAACACCGTTTTTTAAATCAAACCAATTCCTACAATAAGTTTGTATTGATTTTAAAAAACAAAACATATTATTTTTTTGAAAAATTACGTGTTTAAAATTTATAAATTAAAGTAAGACCAACTAAAATTCATTTTCCGAAGAACAAAAAATTTTCGTAGTTATTGAATTGAGATGTGGCATTAAAAATGCCTAAAAAAGTAGTATTACATATCTCACTTTTATTTTTAAGGTCACTCCAGTCTCGTTTTAACCACTCAGCACTGGCTGTCCTGGTGCTCCTGTTCAATCGACTGGGCCATTCGGAGGCCAAGTCCAATTTCCATTGGCTTGGGGAGTGGATGCGACGTGGATGTGGATCCCTTGCCCTTTGCCTTTGCTTTTGGCTCTGCTGGCCACCGAGTTTGCTTAACTTAACTTAACTGTGCGCGCACAGGACACCCAGCTGTGGTCGCCGGGCCAACAAGCCGTCGGTGGTTGCTGTTGCTGCTGCTGCTGCCGTTGCTGCTGCTCCTGAAGCTGCAACACAAACAGCAACGGCAGCAACACCGTGGACAAGCAGCAACATGGGCAGCGACTTGCCTCCCGACAACGCCGACAACTTTGGCAGTACACCTCAATGTTTGTGCAAGCAACATTCGCATGCAAGTCAGCAAAGTTTGCATTGACACGCAGCAGCAGCAGCAGCAGCAGCAAAAGCAGCACTGAATTTGCATAAAGGTGAGGGATGGCCAGGTGAAAAGGGGCTTCCAACTGCTCTCCTGGTGTCATGGTGCCCAAAAAACCAGACAAACGCCAAGTGCACAGCATGGCAAACGAGGAAGGAGGCCCAGTTGCTGCCCATGATGAAGATGGACGTGTTGCTGGTGGCTTCCCATCAGCAACTGCAGCAGCAGCAACAGCAACAGCAGCAACATCAGCAGCAGCAGCAACAACAACTGCCCCATTAGGCCGCACATAAACTGCATGCAATGAAATTCACTCCTGCGGCGTGGCCATGTTGCTACTGCACTGAAGTTGCTGCTGTGTCTGA